CATAGGATCGATGGTGTATGACAGATGCCTAATGTAACTGGAGCTGCAGTGGAGGGTTACAGCAGACGGCACTATAAATAAGGTGATGGTGTCCATTCAGGTGCTTTCTGGGCAGGGCCGCCCCTCCCTAAACGCAGAACATGCGCTGTGCGTAGGGCCTCATCTTCCATGGGGGGCCACATTTTGCACGAGGGGACGCATTTGCGCGTATGCGCAATGGATGCGCACATGCGCTACCGTGAGGCGCGCGTAGAATCAGCTCGAGGAAGGAGAGAAGAGACCTGACCGCCCATGCGTCGCTGCAATGATTGACAGCACTCAACATCTGAACAATAAGAGGGGTGCGCTGGCAGGCACTTGCAGAGCTGCAGGGGGGGGGAGACCCGAGCCTCGGGGGTATGTGCGGGGCCAGGAGGTCGGATGCTCCCAGAGAGGGCAGAGGGAGAAATATAGCTAAATAAGATGAAAATAGAAAAGAATGTCTCTGTATTTTATTTCTGTTTTCAGTGTTTAATTAAGGTGGGAGAGGCGGAGGCTGAGGGAGATCAGACGCCTCCAGAGAGGGGAGAGGGAGAAATATAACAAAATAAGATTAAATAGGAAAAACCTGTCTCCCTCTTTTATTTTATTTTCAGTGTTTAATCAAGGGTGGGGGATTGAGGTGGTGGAAGTTACTTTCTTTTGATGAGTAATTGATGGCTATTTATGACTCAGATTTGTTTATTTATTTATTTCAGTTTGAAGTTATTTTTATTTAATATTTATTTATTTATTTATTTCAGGTTGAATTTTTTATTTTATTTGACTCATACAGCCAAACTACTGTATCTACAGTACATTTGTTATTGCCAATAAAGGTTGTCAAGTTAAATGGCAAGTTGTTGTACGGTCATTTTGTACCTAGGATACATTTGGGATGGGGGCCTCCAAATAAAATTTCGCTTAGGGCCCCAATTTGGTCAGGGGCAGCCCTGTTTCTGGGTACGCTCTTTTTAGCTTCCTTGGGCACACTCTGCCTGACTGAACTTTTTGGGTATGCTCTAATGTATGCCAGTTGATATACAATAGAGCAATTTCAAATGGAAAACAAGGCCTTGCCTGGCCTTTCATTTGGGATCTTTTCACTCATTGCAGAATTGAGACTTGTGTAAAAATTGTATATAAAATATAGCCCTACTGCACCCCTTCCGTGGAACGATACAATAACCCCATGTGCTATCATAGTGTGCCAGCTATTGAACCTTTTGACAAGTGCAGACCAGACTTTACTGCAAATGTTGTGTAACCCAGTGATATGACACTGTGACTTTTTCACCTCCTTGGTTTTAAAGACTGTATTACAGTAAAGTGGTGTAATTTTCTGAATTTGTTAGACTGTTATAGATGTTGTATAATTTACTTTACCCACTTAGTCATTATATCCATACTGATGACAATTTTAAAAAAAAATCTAATTGGGTAAATTTTTAGTGAAAGCACCAATAATCAACAATATCAATATTAAGGTGTTAGGTCAAAAATAATAGTTTCTTACCCAGTCAATTAAAAAGAAAAAAAAAACTGTTTAAAAGACCCATTTATAACTGAGATTCTGACAGCTTGGTGGAAATCCAACCAAACAAATAGACACATCTCAAATCTTTAAATACATTTACCCCAGTCTGGCATTACCGGGACTTTAAAAAATAAACTAGGCAGTATTACTGAACTCAGACAAAAAACTTAACATGCCAGTGGCCTCCTCTACTATCTCAGTACATTTCAACAGAAAACAACCAAACAACAAAAAAAGATAAAAAAATAAATAAATAAATTTAATAAAGCTGCAAGCAGCAATTCTAGGTTTCAAGCCAGCATGGACATTTAAAACTTGAAAGGTGGGTAAGATAGACACCTTTGACAGTTCAGGACACCTGTGTTGAGGATTACCAACAGGTCATATGACAATCAGACAGATGCTCGATTATTTATGTTCATTTATGTGCTGAGCCACGCCCCCTCTAAAGTTCATTGGTCACTATCATCAAAACGCAATGACATATAAAAAAGTCATTAAAAAAAGTCTTTAGTGTTTTTTTAGTCTTTCGTAGAACCCCTTCACCTGAACATGTGTGTTGAGTTTCAAGTGACATAAGGTGGCCTTTCAAAACAAAATGATCCTGGACCTTAATTATAAGGTTCCCATCTGGCCTGTTGGCATTACATATCTTGAGCACCATTTGCACACAACTTCCAGTCATTGGTGAAAATTTCACCACGTCTCTATGATGTACCATCTCACCGGAATTTGCGAAAACATTTCTGAATAATAATGATGATAATAATAAAAACAAAAACAAAAGGGTTTCAGCCCTTCGGGCTTGAACCCCTAATTACACAGATGTTGGGCTCCATTCATCGATACCACCTGCCTACCAGTTTAACACTAACCATATGCATACATATATACATACATAAATACATACATGCACCCAACATACCTCGTCTACAAAACAGACAGCTCTCAAGCCTTGCCAGGACCTCTCATAGCTTACTATTT